TTGACTTGGGTATGAGGATCCGAAACAGCACTGCCGTATTCCAAAGAGGTTTTAACCATTATTTTGTACGTAATAAATCTAAGAGAAAGGGGGGGGGGGTCCACCCAGATGGTGTTTCAGGAGGTCTAATTTTTCCGGGCATTAGAGCACATGTCATTTATATGGGTTGACCAGTGAAGACTGGAAGTTAATGTGAATTTTAAGTATTTGCATGTCCGAACTTCTTCAAGGGGGTTATTTTTTATACTCTAGGTAAAAGAAAGTTTGTTGAATTTGTTAGTAATGCTCATGTGCACAGTTTTCTGAAGGTAATTACCATTTACCATCTGTTACATCATTCTGCCAATTCATTTAATCAGCTATTTAAGGTGATTTGGTCATGTACACAATTTATAGGCGTAAAAACGACGCAGTCATCGGCGAATAATTTCAAGCACACAGACACGCCCACCTCGTATTGAATATCATTGATGTTTAGGACGAGTGGGCCTATAGGACGGACCCCTGCGGAGCTCCTGAGTGCACATATAAAAATCGCGAACTGGATCCGTCAATGTTTATGTACTGTTTTCGATTGGAAAGGTGTGTATTAACCCAGTGAATAATTCGCGAGGGTAATCCAATTGCTCTCACTTTTAATATTAACTTTAAGCGCACTACTCTGTCAAACGCCTCGAAAAAGTCTAAAAGCATTAAATCAATCTGACCACCCTTGTCAACGACCTTGGTAATTTCAAAAAGTGTTGTGATTATTTGAGTTATTGTGGATTGGTTTATTGATACGTGGGGTTAAACTTCCCAAAATCATTATATATGATTAATATTGAAAACCGGGCGAGTTAACAGCAGTGCTCGTTTTCTGTCCTTCCTTTACTCTGTCTTCGTTCTTTGCGCTGTTTATCTCGGCCAGCTATGCACCATATGATTATGGGAGACGCCGTATAGTGGAGGGCTTCGGAAATTTCAACTACCAAATTTGACCATGCGGGCCTGCAGCATTTTTGGAAGTGGAGTACTCATGCCGGAAGCCTTGCTGTGCATCAGTTATTACATGATTTTGTGCTGAAAAAATCACTTATGCATTTTGAGAATATATGCTCAACCATCTTACACGGACAAGAAGTCGTTAAGATAGGACGGTAGTTATCTGTCTGTGATGGGTGATCCCTTTGAATAACAGGAGTTACTTCTGCGACGCGCCAGTCGTTGAGTAACGTGACCTTATCGATAGACTTCTGAAAAATTATTCTTGAAAGAGGAGTGAATTGTACTGTATATATCTTTTGCGAAACGCGTCTGGAATGTTATCCGGTCCTGTCGACTTCTCAACGTATAAGCGCAGGAGAAACTCAGTCACGCCTTCAGCGGATATACTAACGGTGTTATTATTTTCGTTATCGCGAAATGAACGTCCCCTTTTCGGAATTCGCAAGTGTGCTTCTCTGCACTGCATATTTGCCAAAGGAATGGCGGCACCTGTCGTGCTCCAAGCAGTCCTAGTTGAACGTGCTGGGACTTGTTAATTAGGAGTGTTTATATAAACAGAGCCGACTCTACATTTTCCACGTCATTGCGCAAGCAAACCGCGCTTGAACAGGCTATTTGCAGTGATTGACTAGCCGCTATTAGTTGTGCAAGCTGCATATCAGGAAAGCTTACTTCGCAATTTCGAAAAGGGGCTATTCTTCGGAAAGCGACTGTGTTATCGAAGAGTATGGCTTCGTAAAAACAATTTGAAAAAAAAAAAACATGTTGAATAACTCATCTATTTTTTTATTTGTAAGAACGCATCCGTTCACAGAAATTTTATTTATTTTGTGAGATTCTTTATGGGACAAGCACTGCCAAAATTTTGCAGGATTTCCCATCACAAAGCTACCAAGTTTAACAGTAAAGTAGCGTTCTCTCGATTCTTGTAGTTTTAGCTTTAGATCGAAAGCTAAATCAGATATAACAGTCATATCACATTTTTGTTTTCTATAACGCTTTATTTTGCGTTTGAGTTGGAATAGTTTCTCTCGTTATCCATCGTTTAACTCGACCTATCTTTTTCATTTTATCTGACACAAGGGTGTCAATGCAGTTCTGGCAGCATCTTTTAAACTTAGTTCATAATGTGTAGACGTTGTCATCGTCAAAAGAAAAAAAGGGTGACTTCTAAATGGAGTATAATGTTTGAATGAAGAAACACATGTAAAATTGACCAAGTTAAGGTCTTTTTGCGCTCTCCAACACCAGTTTGTGCACTCTCCAACTCCAGGGGAGCACATAACTAGGACTTAGATTGAGGTTGATTTAGGGCGCGTTACACGCGTAGAAAGCAGGACGGTTTGGCATAAGTTGTACGCCAGCATCATGTCCAATGAGGTTTCAGAAGTGGTCACATCAGTAGGGCCACACATCAGCGAACACCACTAAATGCTAGGGAGATCTAGCGGTCATTAGCTTCTGATTCCGGTATTTGTCTAGGTGATCGTACAGATGTAACAAGAAATGCTACTTCTACCGGTACAACATCGTTAGGGACGTATGTTCAATTATAATATCTAACAAAAACCACCAAAAAACAATGCATAAAATGCACTGCGGGAACCTACAAGAAGCCCTGAAAGAATGTTATAGGTGATATTGAACGATGTTTGAAAACAAGAGAAATACCCTCACCCCCCCCCCCCTTCCTCTGCGACGCGTGAATGACGCTGTGGGTAAGAGTGTAATTAAATAAATAAAAAAGGATAAGCTGATTGATTGATATGATTGATATGTGGGGTTTAACGTCCCAAAACCACTATATGATTATGAGAGACGCCGTAGTGGAGGGCTCCGGAAATTTCGACCACCTGGGGTTCTTTAACGTGCACCCAAATCTGAGCACACGGGCCTACAACATTAAAAAAAAAAGGATAAGCTGCACAGCTATGTTCATAGTGTAGAAGTCCACAAAGAAACCCCGAATTTGCTCCACAAATAGGATCGCCGCCGGATACAGAATGAAGGAGGCAGTAGAAGTGATCCATAGACCTCCCAAAGCCTTTGTGAGCACCTCCACTCCCTACCCTTTGGTGCCTGTCGTCCACCTCTATCACCTGTTAGGACATATGAACGAGACAAATTTACAGCATGGGATGGGGTTCTTGTGATAGCAGTAACTACAAAAAATAAACAAGAAAGGCAGGACCCACTCTCTCTTGTTTTACTTCAAACGACCCCCTGCCCCCTCTCCGCACGAGTGGTTGGACCCACCCCTGGGTAGAAGTCTAAAAGCAGATGTGCTGGGTAGATTCCCATAGCAGATGGGTGCCCCTTTGTATACATCAAGCAATGCAGAAAACTTTAGCGGCAGTGTATGCGATGCAACAGCTCATGACATGCTTAAAACCGCAACATCTTGATAATTTTATTTTTTTCACCGTAAGATGTGAAGGAATAAACTATAAACTATGCCACAAAAGAACCTTTTGGACTGTATGCACTGGCAGTGGTGTGATATACGAAAATAATGCTGTGGCAAACGGCGTTTTTTTTTCGGCTGTTTATATGTATTCCGAAAAGAACAGGTGGTGGTCGCAGTTATGTATTTTATCTTGGTTAGTGTATTTACTACAAAGGCAATAAATTTGGCTTTTTTCCCACTATTTCTCTTGATGTGGCAAGGTAGCTAGTATGCTGAAAACAAGTCCTGCGTACCCAGAAGAGTGAACGATTGGCTCTGTCTGTAGAACATGCTTTAAATTTCAATAGTGAGTGCAATAAAAACTTAACAAATCGAAGTTATTGTTCTGTTCTTCACCTCGTCTATCTTTATTGCGCTCCCCACTGAAATTAAACTCATGCTGTGAACCACTGGTTTTGCTTCAATGTCCGCGATAAAACGGTCTTGATGGTTTCCGTTGTACTTACAGAAAAAAATAGGTATAGGCTATACCACTGGCTAACAAACGCTCATCAAACCACGGCCGTGAAAAAAAGAAAAAGAAAGCGGCCTGTCGAATGGTGCGTTTTCAATGGGGGATGCGTGAAATGCAGAGTTTAGGGATGCTGTATACCATATAGAGCAGTGGTCGCAAACCCGGGGCGGCCCGCACATGACTGTCCTCACCCACATTAAACAAAAAAAGTATGCTCGTGATGAAGTGAGGCACTTCATGCGTTCGCCTTGCATGCGTTGAAACTTTACCGTGAAACAGTACTACGTTTCAGAATCGGTGCACAGATTTTAGTCATTATTACGATCGGCATCGACACGTGTGAACTATGCGCGCCAAATCGCCTTTAGAACTGACCCGTTTATGAAATACGGAAAAGGTTTGCTTTCAAACCGTAACGTTTTGTGGTGAGTGGTACAAACACCCCTCCCCCCCCCCCCGTGCTTTTGTGTTCCGAGCGTTGCGGGACTAAATTGCATGAGTGCGGACCGCTGGCTGAGGTGAGTTTGATACCACGGATACAGAGTAATATGACGCTATTGCAGAGGCATTGCGCATTGGTAAATAATCTCTTTGGGTAAACCATAACCTTATAGTAAACCACTGCCGCCGGTAAGCGAACGCTCGGGGAAATTATTATACAGTAGCTAGCGCTAGCAAACGCTCTTGCTGGAAAGGAGCAGCCGTAGCAACGTCATGCTGACGCAGCGACACGATTGGCTGAAGAGGTGTTGCAATAGGATGGAAAGGTGGGCTAGTTGGTAATTTATGATGGTTCAGCGAACTGAGAGCGCGGGGGTAAACACAGAAACAAAGCAAGGAGGAGGCACACAGCACGAGCACTCAACTAACAACTCGCTGAAGTTGCTGAGTTCGCTGAAGAGGTGTTCTTTGACGGCTAAGAGCCGCACTGCTCTTGACTTGTGCCCGAGATCTCTTTACACTGACTTGGTATATCTTAGGGTTGCTCCTTTAATACCAATGAATAAACTAAACCTCATAGATGCTTGTACGCAAGCTTGTATTTTTTTCAAGCCTGCAGCGTATTTAAAATAAGAGACAAAAACACACAGCTGATGAACAGGAAACCAATGTCAACAAAGTTTAATGACATGTGGTGTTTGTGGTTGGTATAGATATGTAATTTTTTCGTTGTTGGCATTGTAGTCATTTATATGTTACAATGAGAGACACTATAGAAGCGAGAAAAAATTACATCATAGTTAGTTAAGAGCAATATAATATACATCGAATTTACATCAGGAACAAAAATATTTCGCATTTGTCCATCGTCGTGCATATAACAACGAAGTCTAGCCTGTTTTTTCATTGTTCGATGATAAAAAAAAAGACACGTCGTGCATCCAGAGAGCAATCTTCTCATCTCAATTCCACATGTAACTCAAAAGTGTGGCAGTTTGGGCTAGTTCGAATGACATGACGATAGTTATAGCGCGAGAAAAGAACGACGACAAAAAGCGTCGTTCTGTTCTCTATGTAGTAGTTCTCTTCTAGCGCTGTAGCTATCGTCAATTCCACAATGTCCGATACCATTGGCTGTCACACAAGCCCCCGCCGCACGTTGCCGACTTCTCACGACGTGGGGACGGTGCGCCGCGCAACGGCGATTGCATCACTTTCTACACAATGGAGCCCATAGTTCGGCGCCGCTTGGCCAACTGATGTGACCTCCAACCCGAGGTCTCTAACTCGCCTTCCCGTGGTTGTGGGCGTCAGCGTTTCAACGCCGCACGGCGAATCGACACGCCGCTTTGTACCGCGCTCACTGATGTGGTTAGAACAGACGTCCACTTGTAATTCATTTAGTCTCCGGTGAGCTTAATACTGTGTTTTAAAGCACGTCGTGTCCCTTTACGTTGTCGGGGATGGCGTTTTTTTTTACGTTTGTGTCTTTGTCGGTCGCAACAGTGGTGTTGCAGAAGCGATGCCCTGGAGTAAATACGCCGCGCATGGACTTCACTAATGGTGCTAGCTCGCGGGCCGAATTCATAAAGCATTTCCCATTTGGCTAGCTGGCTTCGCTTATGATAAGTCGTGCGTCGTGACTGAGTGAAAAATTGGCGCAGCTTACAAGTCGTTCAAGGCTGGATCGCAGAAGTGCTGACATCTAGCTGCTGCTGACTACTTGGCAAGGCTTTTACTCGCTCACTCGTTTGTTCACCCTCCGCCCCCCGCGCTTATTATGAAACACTACGCTTACTCTCTCTTTTTTATCTTTATCTTTTTAGTTTGTCTTTCTATTTCTTTCTTTTATGCCTGCAAGCAGACTTCGATCGTGACAGCTGTGTTGTAAATTTCCCATTGTCCGAATGCTCCACATAAATTAGGGAAATCCTGCTTCCCTCCACACTTATTTACTAATTTAACAAGGTAACAAAGGGGTGGTGAGCACCGATTAGGTGTCTTACGTAATTGTACTGAGTGTTTGCGCGGTAATTGAGTGCATGCTCGTTAATGATGATGATTATTGTCCATCCACGACACAAGACATGCCTCGACCATAACTGCTGCGCTGTAATACTCTCTTTCAACTTTTTTTACTTAAGGTGCTTTTGTTGCTCTTTACGGGCCCAAATTACGTTTCTGCAGTGTCAGGAAATGACAGTGAATTTACCCTGGCCTTATAAAGGAGTTGTTGCGTATGCCACAAGCATATTTGTATCGGTATAGTCGCGATAGAAAAAAAAAGATCGCACAAGTAGCCAATATCGCAGCGGGAAGATCGCGCGACATTGGTCGTCTTGTTTCCGGGAATGACAAGAACAGGTAGCAGGCACCACCTGTTAAAGCGGGAGTGGCTGTCAAAATGATGACTATCGTAAAGACCGAATTTCAGTGCTAGTCACGACTTGGCTTCTGTGGTCATTGTGATAATTGTTTTCTGTCGCGACTATACATTACGTACGCGCGATATATGCTACTGATGTCGTTCTCGCCGCTTTGGTTCATTTCACCGAGCAAGCTATAACAAAACCTTTATGCCCAACTATCTCTCTCTGTCCACTTTGTTTGCACTGCCAAGTTTTGATAATGAATTTACACCAAACGGTTCACCTATCAACCCTTTTAACGGCACCTCTTCATTTACGAATGCGGTCATTCCCGACGTATTTGGACTCACTTTAAGTCCGCCGAAAGACAAAGATCTCTCCAACAACTCGTTGTTCGTCAATAGACGGCGTAATACGCCTCTCGCATAAATCATATCTATGTGTATATCATCACGAATGTTTGCAACGTTTGAAGAGAATTTGCCTTTCAGCGAAGTAATGTGTACGGGACTGTATCCGTCAGTTCGTGCCATGCCTACGTAGAGTTGGTAAATATTTTGTCTAATATAATTTCGTTTTCACGATGAACAAGACCCGACTAGAGTAAACAACTATGTACACAGTTTTTCCTTATGTCCTGTCCTATCGCTGAATACTGCTCATTTAGCACCTTGTTGAACAATATATACATGACAGCATAACAGTTTTTAGCGAGTAGCAGCGTAGATGTCAATAACAACCGGTTGACGATTGACCAGTTGACCTGCAACAATTGACCTGTTTAGCGTGAACCTACGTTTTAGTACACACAGCTGTCGCGTACCTTGCACATCCGAAGCGTCTCTTGACTATAGGTCCACATTCTGCAGCTTTACATTGTACATACTCTCTGAACTGCAGACTCAGTTTCGTACTGTACATATACAAGATTGCCTAAGGACATTTGCGCTCGCACACATACGCGTCGCATACTATATCACGTTCTGGGTCCAGAACGCCGCAGTCTGGCCGAAACGGCATGGCCTTTCACGCATGCATGCGCGCACATCGTTCACATGGCTATCGTGATGGGCACCTTGCCCCTCAGTTCCAGGTCTCGTGGAAGCGGGTGGAAGAAGCTGTACATGAGCCTGTAGTGGGCCACTTCGTCCGGCAGCGCCATGACTGAGTCGAGGAATTCCTGAATGTAGCGCTTGCGCCGCAGGGCCAGTGACTCGTCGCTCTCGGAGCTGAACACCGTGCCCCTGGACAGCGGGCAGAAGTCGCACTCGGGAAACTTCTTGCACATCTTGCTGTACAGTTCGAGGAACTGCTTGTACGTGCGCACCACCGACTGCGTCGGCGGGAACTCGCGCGCCACCGCCACCACGTACACGTAGTATCGCTCGGGATGGTAGCGGAGTCGAATCCCTTCGACGCGAAGCTTCACTATGCGCCCTTCGGCGGCGACGCTGAAGTCGCGCGGGTTGAAGGACAACTTCAGCGTGCACTCACCCTTCGTGGGCGCCCCGAGCACTGCCAGGTTGTGGATGAAGAAGTTGAAGCTGGTCGCTATGGTCATGACGCTCTCGCGTATCCGCTTCTCGAAGTGCCTCGCCGCCTGTTCGTCGGTCGCGTCGAGCGACATAGATTGGTGCAGGTAGGCGAGCGCGTTGCGGTCGACGTCGACCATTCCCGAGTACTTCATGATGCTGAAGAGCGCCAGCAGGAGGTTCGAGTTTCGACGGATCACGTTGTAGGCGTCGCAGCAGAGGCGCACGAAGTGTGCCTCTCCCGCGTTCCGGCGTATGACGTACACCATGTCCGGCGTGAGCGCGACCGGAGCTCGGTCCCTCTTGATTCCTCCCAGTGTCTCGGCACGCCCCAGAACTTTGGAGAAGTCGATGTGCAGCATGTGACCCGTGGTAGATAGGAGGATGTTGTCGTTATGCCTGTCACCGACACCGAGAACGTACGTGGCCACGCAGCAACCAGCGCAAGACTTGATAAAGTTGTCCACCGCCGCCTGGTACTGGGCGCGAGACTGGTTGTGCTTCCAGAACCAGTCAGTAATGGTGCGGTTGTTGAAGGCCCCCGTGACGCCAGAGTGCGCCATCTGGATGGCCCGGAGCGTGGAAACGTCGCGAACGGCTTCTACGAAACCACAATTTTCGCCCGTCGCGATGCACTTGAAAGTGAGCATCTTCAAGTCCATGCCGCTCTCCAGCCACAGTTTGTCCATGAGCCGGATGACGCTGAGTATGAGCATGTCCTGGCGCAGGTCAGTCACCCGCCTTGTAGATGACCTCAATCTTTTCTGCTGCTTCTTCGGACGACCTGAAGACGAGCTTGAAGGGCAAGGTCTTTGAGGGAAATATGCAACATGTGTCAATGTCGATGGACTCGACGCTTATTGCGGGATCTAGAGGTAGCCGCAATTTGAGGGTCTTCAAGGATTCGTTTAACTTGGTTAGGTCTCGGCGCATCACTTCCTGCTTCTGGCTGTCAGTGGCATCTTTGATATTGTGAGCTGCCTCTGCGAGCATGTCGTCGATTATGACTTGCGTTAGTAAGCTGGCCGACACCTTCTCTCCGGCGATAAAAAACAGCGCCTTGCGCATGACCAGCGCCCTGTGCCGCATCAGTGGCTCGTTTATCATCCCCGTGAGCCACCAGTAAAGCTGGTGCGCGAGCCGAACACTCTGTCGTGCCCTTTGTAGCAAGAAGACAGCCAAGAACGAATCGTCCCAGGTTTGGAATCTCAGGGATTCGACCAACTGAGCCAAGTAGAGGGACAGCTCGTCACTGCCGACGCTTTGCAGGGATCGTACGGCGTACTTGCGAACCAGGCTGTCAGGGAATGTTGCGGAGAGAAGCGTGAGCGCCTCCTCTGGGCTAAGTGGACACCAAGCTCGCACCAGCATGTACGTCTCGTCGATGTTGGCGGCGTTCCAGCAGGCAGGGTGCCGCAGTAAGTGCGGAAGCAGGCTCGGAAAGTCGCACAGGTAATGACGGTAGTGCCATACCATGTCGCGAACGGTCTGGGGCAGTGATTGAGACACGTCATTCACCGTCAGGTCGAGCAGAGTCCTTTGTATGCTCGCACTGAGACTCTGGAAGGGTTTCTTTATTGCTTCCTGAGGCTCGCGCGAAATTGATTTTGAAAGCGCGGCAGGATTTCTTACGTAAGGCAAGCTGACGTGCAGGTAACCTTTGTCCCTCTCACTGGCGCAGGCTGGTCCGCGCGGCGACACTGTATCGGCCGACCACAGACCCAAAAGGAACTCGCCGCCATTGAAGTGTTCCCTGTCAGCGAAGACGTTCAACGCGGTCCATCCGAGCACCTGGTCCACGCCTTCTCGGTGGCCTATTAGAGTCATGTACAGTTTCGTCTCGCGGGGCAGTGAACGTATCGCCGCGTTCTTGAAGACTACCCGCTCGTCGAAGTTGATGCACTGGAATAACTTTTGGGTCACACACACCTTGCGCGTCGCCTTGTGGCTGAGAAGGCGTTCGCCGTACGTGAGCGCACAATCTACCGTGAAAGTCTCGTACTCTTGGAGCCACCATTTTTGAAGCTGCGTCGCCATCTCGATCCGTGGTCCGAAGAGCTCGTTGCTATCGGCAACGTAATCATGGCTTGCCCTTCGGTACAACCGATCATCGAGGTAATCCACCGCGAACTCAACGAGGCGCCTCTCCGAGTGCATGTCCAGAAATCTTGCCAACGCCATTCCGATGTCCTCGACGAAGCGGCCGACCAGGAAGGCCTTCTTCGTGGCGTCCGCTGCGTCTCTGTTGTCGTAAACAATTTCGCGTAAGAATTTTACCAAGTCCATGGTTGACCTATGCACTTCATCAGTTTCCGTCTCTCCCAGCAGCACACACAGATCTATTACGGCCCTCCTGACTTCATCAGCAGACGCCAGGAGGCCCCCTTCCCCGTTCCCCACTGCGGACGTCGACGACTTCTCGGCTTCCGCGATCAATCGTTCTGCAGAGTTCTCGAAATTGATTACTCGTTCCTTGACGTCTTCGTAGCCGATCAAGTTTTCGGACTCGGCGCCGCCACCACCGACGTCCAAGTCGCACTCGTCGCAAGTCACAAGCGTCCACGGTCGCTGCACGGCATCTAGGCTGACCAAAGTAAGCCACGCTGTTTTGCCGAGTCGGCGACAGGCGCAGATGTACTCGTAGTCGCTAAGAACGGTTTCGTTGGAGAGGTACTCGTCCAGGCCCGTCACCTTGAAGACGAACGAGCCTTTAGAGTCTCCCAGGAAAGGTTTCAGGCTGTCGACCAGGTAGCCGACTCGAGTAGCGGCGGGACACGAGAACGACACTGGCTTGTGAAGATCCTCGGCGAATATCTTGAGCTTCACGTCAAATGTTTCGTCGGAGTTGTTCTGTAACGTCGGGCTGATAAGAAGACCGGCGTACGGGCTGTCGTCTGGCTTCACCTGGGAAGAAGAACATGGTTTACTAACAAGTCACAAAAAAAAAAAAACAGTGGAGCAACACAGTTTATTGAATTTCAACTCAATGAAAGTAGAAAGTGAGATGCGTTTGGTAATGAGTCCTCGAATATAAATAAGTGATAAAGCGAAAGAGGAAGGCAGAAAACGAAAACGAGACGGCAGGCGTTTTAAAGCGCAATGTTGTCTACTATGGGAGCGCGTTATGCCATCCCGGATTCCCCAGATGTTGAGGATAACGTGGATACATATTCAGTGTGCTTAAACTTCACAACGCCTGAACAACTGAACACTTCTATGATGTACGTGTACAAAAAAGCAATGTTGGAAAACAAACGCACCATAATTAAAATCACCTTACAGTATTAATGATAACTAACAGACAATTGTGTCTGTTAGTTCTCAATATTATTGTATCTAACAAACAACTTGCGGTTGCGAATACATAGGCCAATCTGGAAGGTGTGTGAATGAAAGACTAAAGGAGCACAAGTACAATGTAGAAAGAGCTGTATGTGGCCATTTGGCCCTTCACTGTCAGAGGTGCGGTTGCGTCCCTATGTTCCAAAACACCCGCATACTCTTTAAGGCCCGTGACAGAACCACACGTGAAATTATTGAAGCTTTTGAGATAGACAAAATGAAAGAAAAATGTGTGAGTGTGGCGTCCATAGCATTATCATCTAAAGAAAAGAAGTATCTGGAATCTTCACTTTGACGGGCTAGTGTAGATTGTCGCTATCGGTGATGACACGTGCATGGGCTGTGCTGTATTCTTGACGTGACATTATCCAGGTTTTATTGGTCTACTGTTGTATAAACAGCGTGTGTGATCGCAAATAAAACGTTAGTTGCAAGTTAGCGCTGTGTGTGTCCGCATCTCTCCTTTGTGTATGCCCTTGTCGTGGTGCGCTATACCAGTGAAAATGATGAATGTCAACCAACTAGCCCGGCAACGTGCCTTAGCAAAGGAACGAGCCCTCGGATTTGCACTTTCCTTGGTCAGCGTATACAATAGCATATATATTAACATAAATTATTGTACAGTAAACAAATAGGCTCTCTTTCATGAATGTTCTACAGTCGTATTTCTGTGGATCAGTTCGCTCACTCTCAGTGCGTTTGGTAGCAACAAACTTGAAGAACAAAGGGTACAAAGAGAAATAAGATGTACCACAGCAAGTACAACTCCAAGGACAGAAGGGGGATTTTTCATGAGAAGTAACATTCTCCAAGGAAAGCTAAAATGCGGGAACTCCCACAGTTAGGTTCAGAAGCGCAGCGTTTTTTTTTCTTCGTAGGCGTAGGAAGTTAATCCATGCTGTTTGTATTTTCGTGCATGCGTTTGTTTGTGTGCATTTCTGTATACGCTGGCAAATTGAAGAAATACGAAAAAAGGATTAAATCCGCCAACTTCTCTCTCTGGTTGTGTCCCTGCTTAGGTCCCAGGGAAGTGGAACACGTTATTATTATTTTTTTTCATATTAATATATTTCTGCCGCCGTGTCTTTAACCACTCATACATATTATTCAGCTTATCAAAACAACCAGTGCTGCAAAAATAAAATATATAAAAAAAGATTGCTTCAAAGCCTCACGCTTACTTGAAACTTCTGGGTATCTCTATCACACACCTTAAAAGTGCTACTTGACCGTGTCTTATTAAGCTGTGTTCATTAAACCCAAAGGATTAAATTTCATTTATCACTTCGTTTCCAGGAATACATACTCCCTGTGTTCTGATCAATTTTCTCGAACGACATTTTACAGCCACTAACCACGGAGCCACCTCATAGCTCGGGAAACGCTGCCTCCCCAAATGATTACAGATTCAGTGATTGAAGCTGGATTTCATTATAGTTTCCTGCTTCCCAATAACCACAGTGATCGATTTGCTGTGCTAACTCACCTGCACAACGAGCTTCTCGAGCTTCTCGAGCAGCTTCCGGCTGTGGTGGTTCGGCCGCTTCCGGATGAGCCGGCCCGGAATGAACCGGAAGCGGTGCGAAGGAGTGGCCGGAACTTCCGGGATTAGGCTCATGATGGCGCGAAATCTCGGCGTCACTTTGAACCGCCGGCGAGCTGCGCAAAGCAAATGAGCGCAAAAATGGTTCCATGAGTGCACACGGGTTCGTATTTGCAGCGAAGCTTCATTCAATTATAGACCACCCATGTCATATGTAGTAATCGCGGCATGCATGTTGTTAAAACAAACGTACAGACAGGTTCACAGTTAAAGGGAATACTTTCGTCTGCACCATGTCCGGATTTCTCTCTCTGGCGTAACATATATAGTGTCTTAAATTTGCACAGCATAGTGTCTTAGATTTGAATAAGGCTACTGGTGATTGACTCTTTTCGATAGACTGGTGCCGGACACGAACAATGTATATAGCTCTGCTTCTAGTTATGGGACCCCAATACGGCAGGCGATCATTGGAGTGTTCCCTTTAACAGTGGACGGCACTGTACATTATTTTTGTCAAAACGGCACTGCCCTAGATTCATCTATTTTGAGTGGTTCCATGTGCGTGCTGATCGTTCTACAACACCGTGTCTCACAATTCTACATTAACTTGGTACCCACTGCAGTACCTTGTGCCACGCTGTCCCACTTGTGCAGTGCTGCAAGCCTTTCGTATATTTCATCACTCGCTATAAGTCGTGGTGGTGTATAGCGGTTATACGGCGCTCGGCTGCACATACGATGGTTCTGGCTCGTAAAAGCCTGGGTATTAATTAAAAAAAAAGCACTCGTTTCGCTAAAGCTTCGTGATGAGGTGATGAGCAGGAATGACGTGGCCATCGAGCCCGTGATACTCCGCCGTGGTACACGAAATACTGCGTTTCAGTATGTACGGTAGACTCGTTCGCTGTGAGCTGCTTGAGATGATGCTGCGAGGCACGGTCACGACTATACGCAGGAGCATATACATGCCGTGGCCGCGAGCGCCATCTATACTTGCATCGATCCACGCTTTTCTTTCACTGTTTTTTAACCATATATCCTGAGCTCATGACGTGTGGTATCATGGCGCGCTCGTGTGGAGACATTCCGAGAGCTCCGGAAGACGCCATAAAGCCAGTTTATGGCCCGAGCATTCGAGCTAGTGCCGACGGGCGTTAATGTGCGAGAGGCGACGACGGAAAGGCGGAAAAGTTGCTCTCTGGTTCACAGGGCAGGGTGACTCGCATGCAACAATTAACCTAGTCAAGCTTCAAAAAAAGAAATGTTATTGAACGGATCGAAGGTGCGTTAAAGTAAAATTATGATTTACTGCGCTGCACAGCCGCTAAGCATAAGAACGGCCGCTCCGCGGCTATGCAGTTTACTATGCCATAATGTGTTACTGTACCTAATGTGTTAGAATATGCTACGCATGATGTGTTTATACCGTAATGTGTATACCAAGCACGTTATGCCACGGCTTGCGGCCGTGGCATAACACACTTTCAACCTTGTTAAACTGTCCAGCCAAATCTTTCGGCACACAATTATTATACAATAGGAGAGAGAGAGAGAGAGAGATAAAGACGCAAGGAAAGGCAGGGAGGTTAACCAGACGCACATCCGGTTTGCTACCCTGCACTGGGGAAGGGATAAAGGGGAGAAAAGAGGTTGCAGAGAGGTGAGAAGGTACACACAATCACGAGCACACTCGGGGAGCACACACAGTCTACAGGCGGTCGCTCAGGTTTGTTGACTTGAGGTAAAGTAGCAGTGCTTTAGTTGCTTTCTGCGCAACTGAGGCAGATGCCCAAGGTCCTAGTATCTTCTGCACACAAAATGGTCCGGGGTCAAGTCGATTCAAAAACCATCCGGAGCTGGCATCGCTGTGTGTCGTAGCAAGCGCAGCTGCACAGGACGTGTTCGATGGTCTCTTCAGCTCCGCAGTAGTCGCATGTAGGAGTGTCTGCCATACCAATGCGAAAGAAGTACACCTTTGTGAATGCAACACCCAACCAAAGGCGGCATAACAGTGTCGCATCGGAGCAGGAAAGTTGTGATGGCAGCTTTAGCTTGAGCGAAGGATCCAGTTCATAAAATTGACACCTTTGGAAGCTGGTAGACGACCAGAACGTGCGTGTGAGATCTCGAGCCAGCAGGTAAAGTTGTCTTGCTGCATCATTCCTTGATAGAGGAATCGGAACTACACGGGTTTCTTCATGGGCTGAGCGGGCTGCATCATCGGCTAATTGATTTCCGGTAATACCGATATGTCCAGGCAGCCATTGATATATAATATCATGCCCTCGTGCTAGAGCTTCATGATGGCAATGTCTTATTTCTTGTACCAGTTGGTCATGACTCCTCCTACGCATGGCAGACTGCAAACTCTGAAGCGCTGCCTTCGAATCACAGAATATGACCCATTTTCCTGGACGTTCTTGAACGAGATATTGTAAAGCAGCCCTTATAGCAGCAAGCTCTGATGCCGTAGATGTAGTCATATGCGACAACTTAAACTTTATTGTCATTTCTGCAGCCGGAATTACAGCGGCACCTGATGAGCTGCTGGATGAGACGGACCCATCAGTGTATATCTGCGTTCGGTCTAAGTACAACTCATGTAATAATAGCAGTGTTGCTTGCTTCAATGTTACTCTGGAGTGACTGCTTTTATATACAACAGGAGTGTGACACAGCATTCGTCCGTCTCAGAGAGCCTACATACAAGCTGACACCTTCCGGTACAGTGAGACTGCGTCCGTGCGTTGGACTGGTGTTTCTGTGTGTAGTGTTTTTTTTTCTCGTTTTATTTTTTGTGGTTGTTTAATGTGCTTGTTCGATAGCAGGCTCTGAACGTTCCCACTCTATCATTTTTCAACGTCGACCTTGTTGGCATAGCTATTCGATTAGTTTAATGAAAGTAAACAGAAAATGAAATATTTTCTAGTTTTGAGGGTGGTGTCAAACAAACAAAAACCTCATTATTTGCTTATTTTTTTAAGGTGGTATTAGTTAAAGAAACGAGACTTCGAGAACTTCCTTTCGTTATCCAATACGATTAGTTAAATGGTTAGATTCAACTTTTTTATGGCGACAGCGTCGTCGTTATTATTGTTGCGGCAGGTTAAAGAAGGCTGCGCAGTGTTTACGTCTTCCCTGAAGTTTTTCTTAATTTTTTTTTCTCGAAATTTTGTCCTGGCGTTGAGGTGCACAACTCTATTACCACTTACGCGTAAGGGTCACCTGATTCCAGAGCAAACAAATGACTTAGGTGGCGTTTATTTGTCCGCATCAGAGCTTTAATCTATTACCTAACGTCACTCGGCGTTATCATCCTGCTCCTATACCTAAAACCTTCGCAAAATACAAGCTATAGGGCGCAGTATTTGCGCTGGCTACTTTATTATAATATACTGTTTGTCGAGTGCATGATATAGGAACTGTGCCAAAAAATCTTTGGTTACATATTTGCCTTAGCAGCGCAGAGAAGACGAGAACACAGAAATCTAGAGGATAGGAACGCGTCCTGGAAGTTTCTCCTTTCTTCTTGTCGTTCTCGCATTGTTAAGAAAAGGTGTATGTGCACTCTCGTCTAAATATGTAATAGTATACAAGTTCAACGAAAAATCGGACCTCCAATTTACTTAGTGCTACGCCAGTTCCTCAATTCATGTACAGACTGCGAATTGCCTATAATATCATGTTTATTCCTGTTTCTGATCCCATGCCGCTTTCAACTGCATTACTGTTTACCCACCAATGAAAAAAATGTTCGTTTGATCTGCCACATTGCACAGTCTGCCCTACAGTATACTTCTTTCTCGTAATCTCCCGACACTTCTACGCAAAGTAGTCTCGCGGCTCGGTCGTTATTCATCACTGTACATTGTTGATCTTTTGGGAACCATTTTCTAACGGCAACTTTGAGACATGGAACTTTATTGCAAACTGGTAACAACATTTCAGGTGAGTACAACTGTCTGGTGTAACAAAATCACTTCAGTAGCGTGTACAAACAAGAGAACATAGACAGGATGTACCACACAGCACTTCAATATTCTCACAGATCACGAATCACTAAAAAAATAAAAAAAAAACTTTGAAGTGTTACCATGACTACGCTGCAGTTATAAACTAAGAGGATGGAACAATAGTCACATTATGGTTTTCGGTGCCTCCCTAAGTGACAGGGAACGTTAAAGGACCCCAGACAGCGAGTTGTTTGCTTGTGACTTCTTCACTCTAATTTGAAACCTTGTGTCTGGTAAGATCAGAATTGAATCGCATGTCCTCTAAGGTATTGTATAATTAATGGTACCGTCGCTAGTTGGGGCCAATTTTAGGGTCACTTCAAAACGCCGAGACCACGCGCGTTTCGGTGGCGCTGAACACGCAGTCTTCAAATCGGGGAACCCACGTGAACGAAACGATGTGGTTTTCTTCAGCGTATCCCCCCTTATGAAGTAAAAAAAGAAGCATTCCTGGCGTAAGCAACCAAAAACAACCGTTAGAGCTGCCCGACAAAAGAGTGAGATGGGCGCGAGGAACAATAGCCCTCGTTAGGTGCCAGTCGTGGTTTCGTGTTAGTCCCGTGAATGTTCTGCAACGTCGACAATACTCGCTTCACTTGTGGAACGTCACAAGGGGCCTCTGTGTACGTCATACTAGTGGCGATGTCGCGAGGTGCTGAAAACCCAGATGAGCATGAGCACTCACGCTCACTTTAAAACCAAACTAAATTATATCTTAAAGGCAGCGTTTGTTACTCATAATTGGTTAGAAGTGCCCACGCATGTAAGACTATAACACATGCATGCATATCGAGTTTCCAAATTTGGTGTCAGGGGTCTTTTAAGAAAGCATGGGGAATTAGGGAATGGGCCTAATTTTTTTGTATATAAGCCTCAATAAGCACATTTTAATATTTTCCCGAATATACTTTTTGAATAACTTTGCATCAATTGCTGTGTACTTTGATTTTTGAAGTAAGCGCTTTCCGAGAACCTTTCAACAGCTTCCTGTAGATTACGTGAAAGCAACCAATTGACATGACGAATGGTATCAGCTTCGATAAATTTGGCAAGAAGAAAAGGCTCTCTGTAGAAATGCCATCATTCTCTTCGAGG